TGTTTATGAAACGAACTTGTCTTCAATAGGAATAGTACAAGTACGTTTAAGGTATAGAATACAGCTTAATCAGCAGCAAAAAACCGTCATGATATTGTATGTAAATCATACATACATTATGATTAGAACACATAATTTTACTACCAAAAAAACGAGGCAAAATATCTTGCACACTAAAAAGGCATGCAACAATGACACTTCATACGTAACAAATAAAGTTCATATAAGTAGGTCACTGAACTTCCATGACGTATCTTCCTAGTCTTTATGCCATAAATCTCCTAAGTTTATCGATATATGAAGCAAACCAGCTGTCTTACAACTATTGATATATTTTTGTTATTTAGTTAAGAAACTCGAAAGATAATCAAGAATATGAAACATAAACTTTGGTAATTTATTACTTCTGAAATCGATTCGTTATAAAAGAAACATATTATGTATGTCGTTGTGGTCTGTGCGAGATAGATTTATTAGTACGAGTGTTATTTATTACGTGTTTGTTTTAGTGGTCTAATTGTTACTAAGTTCAATATTAGGAGTATTTTATATGTAAGTAGTTGGTATCGATTATCGAAAGGATCGTCTCTTGAGCCTATATTTCAAATTGCCCATTAACTAGTAGGTACATTTTAACTCTTTCAGTCTTCGTGGTTAATGTAGCTAGCCACCATTTCTTAAAAATATTTTTTTTGAATTATGCTTCTTTTTTTATTTGCTTTAAGCATATCAGTATAATAAAATAAAATATATTCGTAACCAGTTAAAACTTGACTGAAAGAGTTAAAGTACCTAAGCCTAAAGTACAGAGGCCTTAGTACCAGTTTGTTTTACGTTAAAACTAATCGAATCGAGACTGAATTCGGCGCTCTGATTGGTTGGTTCATTGGAGCCGGCCAATCAGAGCGCCGAACGCTTACTCGTACTAAGCCCTCAGGATATCTGCTAGTAATATAATTTAATCTAATTCCTGTAGACAAAAGGATGAAATTCTATGTATTTATTTTATTGTAAATTATTAAACCTGACATTATTTTAGCAAACAATTATGACATTAAATTAACTGAAATAGGTAACATTAATGTATTTGTAATCTTCAACCGAAAAGAACTTTACACCTAATAGTCTGTTAACTCATTAAGTACCGTCATTATAGACACAATAACTCGTCGAGTACCGGTTTTGTAGACACAATTATAGAACAATAGGTTGCGGTCACCGGTGACCGCTTGGTGTTTGACAGTTTAAATAATAATAGGTTGCGGTCACCGGTGAGCGCTCGGTGTTTGACAGTTTAAAAGCTGACCATTCTCTATTAACACAGGAGTAGAGGCGATACGATATATAATATTATTATGTTTTCTTTGACTGTGCATAAAGCTGTTTCACACATAGCCAATGACATTGATATCTTTGTGAAATACACACGAGGAATTTGACTTTACTAAGAGTTGACTCCACGGTTGGTGCGGTGGCTGGGCAACCGGCTGCCGCACAATGTGTCGCAGGTTCGATTCCCGCACGGAACAACTCTTTGTGTGATCCACAAATTGTTGTTCCGGGTTTGGATGTCATGTGTATGTGAACTTGTATGTTTGTAAACGCACCCACGACACAGGAGAAAATCCTAATGTGGTGCAACGATTTTCTATTTTATTTTTAAATTTGGATGTCTAGTAAAATCTTGATATTATCCAACTAGTAACATTACTTTGTAGAAAATCGTAAGTTTTAGGTGGTTCTCAATAGTATGTACAATTGGTTACTTACTTTTGACTGGCGAGAGATGTTATTGGTGCACTATGCGATCTGAAAATAAGAAAAATGATGTTTATATAATAACTGTCGTGAGACATACTAAATCAATTTTAAAATTGCGGGTTACTCACGTGAATATACGGATAATATAAATAGATAGATTGATAAGATAAACTATTAGACCTTTTTTCAACCACCACAGATGGGGCCCAAATGGGCCGATGCCGATTTGGAGTCGCGATAAACTTAACGGGTTACCGGGCTCCGGCTTGACGTGCAGGAGAAGGAACGGGGTAGTTTTTAGTCAGTAAGAGTCTGACACTCCCTCCCGCCTCACCCAGGCGGGAGCAGTCATTCGATGATTTTCCCCCCTTAAAAATACCTTTTCTCAGTATATTCATGTGAGTAACCCGCGATTTTTAGTTAGGTAATTAAGAAAAATTCTTTTAGATATTGTTCGTATCTACCTCTACAACCACAGGCCTCGAAAAACGGGTGGGATCGGTGGCTGTTTATAATATGAACAGGCTAAATAACGTGACAAAATCTATGTCAAAAGGCCAGTAATACACTTGTGACTCTGGTGTTATGAGTTTCTATGGGGGACGGGACGTTGACCGCTTACCATGAGGAGAAGCATCTGCTCTTTATTCCATTAAAAGACTTCGGGTTAGCTATGACTCATCGTATATATATAATATAATATCTGACTGCAGGGTTGGCGCGGTGGCTCGGCAACTGGCTGCCGCGAAACGTATCACATTCCCGCACGGAACAACTCTTTGTGTGATCCACAGATTGTTGTATCGGGTCTGGGTGTCATGTGTATGTGATATTGTATGTTTGTAAATGCACCGACGACACAGGAGAAAATCCTAGTGTAGGGCAACGATAATTAAAAAACAAAAAAGAAAAACAAATAAATTGATCAATTCCTACATTAAAATGCTTACTCGTAAATAAATATTTGGCTACCGAAATAAAATAAACATTTCGAATAAATCAGCAAACCGTTTAATTTATTCTGAAATCGTCGCCAAAAATGTTAATTAATGTAATTCAAAACGTTCGTTTAAAATTAACTCGCGGTTAATTTCCCGTTCACTGGTCGTTTAAATTGTGTTTTGTATTAAAAATCCAATTTATTAATCGGTTTTTAATTTCAAATTCATTGTATTGTACCCTTGTTTTTTTATTGTTTATTTGGACTTTAACAGATCGTTTCGTGAGTTTTATTTCATTAGTCTTGTTGAGTTTCGTGTGTTTAAGTCCACACAAATATGTAATTTATCCGTATTCTTTATATTGTTCAGTTAAACATACCATTACGTTGACTGTAAGAATTTATCCGGTATTTGTTGTTTCGCTATATTTAAGCAACTATCTATGAGTAATTGTGACGCTCTCATCATTTATCTTCATCACATCATTTGGTCTCGACTTACTCACTTAACCAAATCAATACAACTTTTTCAACACTAGTCGCTATCTCATATTCTAAAAAAGATTTTCTAAAAAACCGTCCATTAAGGTTCACTTGAGTTAAACTCCATATCCACGCATAGGTCAAATTCCCTTTAATTAAATTTATATTGCATAGGAATACCACAGGTCGGTTGAAGCCGGTTAAAACCGGTACAAACCGGTTCGTACCGCTCTACCGCTACCGGTTCAAAGGAGCGTCAGCCGGATGTTTGCGGGACGGCTCTGCTCTGATTTCCTGAACAACCCTCCGTGCACATTCTAGTCTATAAACTATACCATTCCATTTTAAAAACTTTGAGTTATTTTTAGACTTGTAGTACTTTGTAGTTGAATTAGCTTCATAACCTTTAAAAGTAGGTATACTACAATGATTACATGAAGACTTTTATTTATTTTATTTAGACCTAGTACAAAAACATATGTAGGTACAGGTGGACTTAATGCCTTGGGCATTGTCTTACGGTCGACCTTAACAGAGATGAAAGTGGCAGGTGACTAAGCAAAATATTAATAATAAATAACTGTATATAAATAGGCAATGGGTCTCGGGTTCGATTCCCGGGCCGAGCAGAGTATTACTGAATTTTAAAAATTCTCAGTAATAGGACGGAGTCTGGATTGTGCCCAGTATATGGCAATAGGCTCACCCCCTATTACATGGGACTCATAACATAAATAGTGAAAAGTGGGTGTTACTTCTGTGTGCACCTCTGCCTACCCCTTCGGGGATAAAAGGCGTGATGTTATGTGTTATTTTATAAATAGTTATTGATTGAAATATAAATTTAAAGAAAGCAATTAAGTGATTTCATCTCTATTTATTTGATTACTATGTATTTAAAATTCCAGGACCAACGAAGTAATGGCTGAATGACGAACCCTAATGAACTCTTATTTCACGAGAAAATTTCAACTAACATTAAACAAAAAGTAAATATTTGAAACAACATCAATATTTACACAACGTCCTAACTATCAAAACAATAATGAACTTCAATTTAACCCCTAAAAACCTGTTTAATAACCCCACCCATTATACTAACATGAATAATCCCATAAAATTGCATTTTACCATAAATCTCTCTATAGGTTTAGACATGAGTGTCGTCCCATTTGACCTCTCTCTTAGGTCAACGGCTAAATTAAGCTATAAATCCACCACTCCCAAATCAGCCATCTTGACCGTAAAGGTGGCTGCACACAACATATTCGTGTGACAAGGGATCAGTTTAAAATTGGAACAAAGGGTTGAGGCGTTTGTAGAAAGCCTTTACTGGCGTGTATAGTGCAAGAGTCAGTATAGATAATCCTTTTCTATCGCAATATTATGTGACATTGATATAATGATGTCGCACCAGTCAACGTACTCCCCTCTTTAAAAAATATATGAATGACTAACTGAATTTGCAAATACGTCCGCGTTTTTTAAAATAAAAGTAGCCTATGTTATTTTATTAGCTGCCTGCTAATAAAAGTCCAGGCAAAATTGGTCTAGCCAATTCAGAGATTACCCAGTACAAACAGACAGACAGACAGACATTGTAAAACGTGTTATTTTGGTATATGTATCGTGTGTATATTCTTTAGCATGCAGTAAAAAGCGGTTATTTGAATCAATATTACAAAGAGACACTTCAATTTTATTTATCTGTACATATAGATAAATTACTATGAGAAAAACACCTTTTAGTTTAATATAGAACATAATTTTAAAAACACCAAGTACTTAATTTATTTCTCTAGTACAATTGCAATTTATAGAATCTGGACATATCTTTATATGTGTAGATCCTACAAGAACTGAAGACTTGAAGTTGAAAAAATCAATATTATATTTTTTGAAAGAGTAAGATAACAAAAATATATCCAACCCCAATCTATTAAAAATGCATCAATAATATATATATACCGAAATCTCTTTTTCATAGTCCTCTTGGGATAACACATTAGAGAACCCTAAATTACCATAATACAAGCTCCCTAAATATTTTGGTAATTTATTTATACTCTCATCGTATTATTCATAAAGACCCACATAACCTTTATAGCTATAAAATGCTTTGTTAGAACCTTCAGTTTCTATTTTCCTATATGGGATATTATTTATTTTGTTATACTCATTTATACATAGTAGACTATTACTATATTTTACTCGCAACTTTTTTTTTTTTTTTTTTTTTTTTTTTTTTTT